TTTTGTGACTGTGTTTACCACGAACTGCTGTTGGTTTGAGGTTGTTGTTGTTGTTGGAGGTCACACATAATTCAATTTGTGTAATTATTGGAACAAATTATTTGCATAGTTTTTGGAGTTAAAGTAGAAGATGTATATAATATTCCTAACACATGCAATACGGCTTGCCCGACCTGAATCATATTTGAATGGAGTGATCCGTGGAACAAGCTTTAATAGTGCAAGCAAACAGACGGACAGACCTCCGCAAATGCGCTCAGTAAAACTGAAACTATGTGCTATACAGCTTAGCATCGCACCGCGGCATTGCAATGGTGCAAATCATTCAAGTCGGGTCCAACATGTCTCGATTAAAGGGTGTTTTTCTAAGTCCGCCACTGTTGTGGTCCATTTTCAGTCCTCTATTTCTAATTTACGTTGGTGATATGCCATTGCCGTTACTAATTACGTTGAATTGAATATGTATGATTACGTAGACACCTCCCACACTAGAAGTATTTTGTAAATGATAGACTCAGTCTTAATGTATCAAGAACGGAATTTATGGAGTGATTGGTAGTCTTGGCAAATAGTCAAAATAAAAGTGAAAAATAATTTAATATTACAGACAGAGCCACACACATATTGAACACCTGTGCAAGAACTTACCAATCAGTATACTGAGAAAATATGGAGATTATGCCCGCATACATCACTCCTCTTGACATATATGTTTTACTTTACTCATTTTTGATTATTGTGATACATCATTCCTATACACCGCGCTTCTGTGATGTCAAAATGAGGTCACGCACATAGTCAGAGCAATGTAGTTTAAATCGTCATCTGTGTTTGGTTGTGTTTGTCATCTAGAATATAGTATAATCTTACAAAAAAACATAATCTTCGTTGATAGACGAGTACAGATCAAAACGATGTCGACGATTTGGACAGACATCATGTCACCAGCTTATGTCATAGAACTGTGTTGTAATATAAATAATATAATATAATTATTAGAACAGGCAGATACTTTTCATCTCGCAAGACTACGCATTTTTATGAATTGTGCAGGTCTTATTCTTAGGGTCATGAGAACAACTATAGGACTAAAGTATTCAATAAATTAAATTGGCCATCTTTAAATAACTGAAGGTAATTACACCAAGCTACTCGCATGTACAAAGTAATGTACTTTCAAATGCCAGGGAATATATCCTCGCTCAATGTAGATAATAAACAAACCCACAATCATAAGACTAGATCTTCCCAACATTTACGAACCGTTAACCAGAGTTTGCAAGGCATAAAACCTCAGGATAGTTTTAAAGATGCAATATGGACGAGAATATGTAATTTTTAATATTGTTTGATACTGTATTTGAATATGCATCAGAATATGATTTCCCATCACCTGAAAATTCTGTTTTGTAGCAGACACGAGTATCTGTTCGATGAAACAATAAAACGTGCAATGGTTGTTTTGGCACGTACGATAACAACCACTGTATGGTGCGTATTAGTGTTTTTTTTCGTGACGAATATTGTTGTGTGGCAACATTTTTATTTTATGATATGTCGTAATCCGATTTGGTCTACAGTACTCAGTAACGAACAACAATGTTAAACAATACAATACATATTTTATCTTTAAGTTCACTTGGGCACACCCATGGAATTCCATCTCTTCCTACATAAAGTGTTT